AAAATTTCGTCTCACAAGTAAACTAAGTCATGTCACTCGTTTCTCGGTAGCAGAGTTAATAAACTTATTTAGGGATTAAGAAATACCGTATTTCTTGGCATTGAGAATGCTACAGTCTCAAGAACGCGACCAATATTTAATTTACAAGATTTTGTTTATATATATCTATATCTATATCTATATATATATATATATATATATATATATATATATATATATGAAGAAAACTTAATAATTTTTGTCGAGTATGCAGGTCGGTAGACGAAATAAATACTGTATAAAATGAAATGAAAGGTCTACTCAAATACGGGTATCCAGTAAAAATAACATTTTAACATATATATGTGTGCACGGAGGTCAACATCGAGTGGCGACAGTCTGATTCATGCGTGAACGCAATCTTCACGCCATGTCCTGAATCTAAAATTAAATGTAAAATTAAAATGGCTGACATTTTCTATATCTACATCAAATCACTATATTTTACGTTTGTTTTAAAATTTTCTTATGTACAAATCTCGTTGAAAGATCACAGATATTTATTTTGTATTCACAAATATTTTTTTATTTCAATAACTGTTAAATTTTCAAAAAAATAAAAAATTAAAATTAACCACAACGTTTTTTATTAGCAAGGTTAACATGCTAACGATTTTTCCTTAATTTAAAATTTTAAAATTCAATTAGTTCTCATGTTCCATCTTACACACACACATGCACACACGCACACACATATATATATATGTGTGTGTGTGTGTGTGTGTGTGTGTGTGTGTGTGTGTGTGTGTGTGTGTGTGTGTGTGTTTTAAGAAATCTGACAAATGGAAAAAAGGTTTCATTGAAACTAGATTACGCGTTTAGCCTTTCTTTCATCAGATGCAAAAATGAAAGGAAGAAATGTCTGTATTGGTATGAATATTTGTGTGCATGCACAAATACAAATACACACATTTCTTTCATTTTTGGATCTGATGAAGCCTAGAAAGGTTAAACGCGTAATCTAGTTTCAATGAAACCTTTTTCCATTTGTCAGATTTCTTAAAACACAAACACACACGCACACACACACACACACACAAACACACACACACACATATATATATATGTGTGTGTGTGTTTTGTTTATATTCCATTTTACACACGTGTGTGTGTAAAATGGAATATATGTGAAATACATACACACACATATATATGTGTGTGTGTGTGTGCAAAATGGAACATATGCAAAAACACACACATATATATATGTGTGTGTGTGTGTGTGTGTGTGTGTGTGTGTGTGTGTGTGTAAAATGGAGCATATGAAACACACACACACATATATATGTGTGTGTAAATGGAACATATACAAAACACACACACACATATATATATATGTGTGTGTGTGTGTGTGTGTGTGTGTGTGTGTGTGTGTGTGTGTGTGTGTGTGTGTGTGTGTGTGTGTGTAAAATGGAGCATATGAACATCTAGTTTCAAAGAAACGTTTTTCTATTTGTCGGATTTCTTAAAAAACTTTGTCGGGATTCTATATCCTATTTTAAACGCATACCTGTATGTATATATATATATATATATATATATATATGTATATATATATATAATATGTATGTATGTATGTATATGTGTGTGTGTGTGTGAGTCACAGGGCGAAATAAAGTAATTTTCTCTCTTGAGGACGAAGGAAAAATCTTTTAAGAGATCGTGGAGAAAGATAGCGTCTTCAAAGCCGGTAAATACGGTAATCCATATGTGATTTCTTCCAAGGGCTAATCTACTTAAAATAAAGGCAAAAACATATATCTTTAATAAATTCAACAATTAAATCTTCAACTGAGAAATGTAATAAATTAATAAATAAATAAATAAAAAGTTATTCTAACATTTGCAATAAGGTAACCGTTCCAAATGTCACCAATTAGGAATCGATTAAACTCAACGCACTTCTTAAGTTTATTGTATATTGAATTATCAAATAAAATCAGCGAAGATGGATATTCTGTACAAACAAAGAAACATTCTCCAATATTTCAAACATGTCTTATTCCATGTTTAACGCGTATTACAACAACCAACATTGATTGGAACTAAAGTCTCGCACCAAAAAAAAACGAAATTCTTTTAAATTTTTTTCTTTTTCTTTTTTTCTTTCTTTCGTTCATTTTGTCTTGTAATTATTATCATCATTCCATCAACCTATTTTTTCTGCTTCGCTTTCTGATTCTTTTTCACTGATATCTTTCTCATCTTTTCGATACAGAATATTAGTGAGGCACTCGATAAGATCAGAAAGTTGATAATATTCAGCTTCGATCAACAGTTCCCTGAGGGCCGCTTCGTTTGTCACCGGAAGCGTTCCATCCTTTAGTCCGCCATCGCGTAGATAGTTCAAAATATACCGGAAGTAAGTACCATCGCGATCAATAAAATAACTTCCGTCGTTCTCTGTTTTTAGCGAGTATCTGCCACTGAACATGGCCGCCAACATGGAGTTCGCATCTTTGGTCAAAGTGAGTAGGGAAGTCGTGAACTGTAAGCCACCAATGTCCAGTTTAATTCGATTATCTTGAATTTTATGCATTTCGGCCATTCTCTGAAATACAGAAAATGAAAAAGAAAAACATCAGAAACTGACTGAGAAGGATTAAGCATGATGATTATTGATCGGTGACAATAAAAGATGGAGATGGAAATTATTTGCCTTGACACTTGCTTTAACAGAAATCGATATTTCTGACGTATTTTCTTCGAAACAATGTCATGGAAAATTTGAATGAAATTATTCTTTGATGTAACTACAAGCAACAACCATGTATATATATATATATATATGTGTGTGTGTGTGTGTGTGTGTGTGTGTAGAAGGACAACTCTGAATTCAAAACCTGCGGAGGGCCGTTTGGGGACCCTGTGGCACGTAGTGCACCAAGTCACTGTATTCAGCCCTACAAAAAGTGTAGATGGTTCTGCACGAAACCCTCAACACTATAATCAAATCTCCTGTGCTGTTGTCGGGTTGTCGGTTTCTTGGGAACTGATCTGCTTGACCCTCATACGTCGAATTCGATGAGGGAATCGAGTGTATATTGAAGCATGTTTCATTGAATAATTTAGACAAGTTTTGTCTATTTTTTTACAATTGGATCTTTCATATTCACGGACAAGTTTTTGATGTCATTATTAAACGAAAAGAGAAAATTACCGTGTTGATAAATATTATTTTATTCCGAGTACTTTCGACATAGCACAATGTCATCATTAGTGTGTTGTTTATTTCGAGACAAATATTGTAGTGTTCATCATTTTTAAAGACAATATTGTTATGTTCATCTGAAAGTTAATTTTTTTTTTACTTGTGAGGTGAAGAACATTGAGATGATTACTGTGATTAACTTGAGTAATACTTCCGGACAGGTATTTAAGTTATGGTGCTGTCGAGAGATTTTTTAAGAAATAAATATTAAAACTTTCCTAATTATATTGTTGATGAACAAATAAGATCTTCTATCAGAAAATTTAATACAAAGCAAATAGAATATAATACTTCTTCAACTAGCCCACAAAAAATTAATCATTTATATTTATCATTATATAAATACATTCTAATTATACAGAAAACGGAAATATCCTAAAGAATAATAAATACTAACATTTACACCAACTAACGTGCTCCAGAAAACCAACATTCTTTATAAATTTAAATGTTTTATGGGAGATTGTATCGCCAACGGAAAAAAATAATATTTATGTTGGCCAAACTACGGTCACGTTGTCTCGGCGGCTGAGTTTTCATTTGAATGATGCGTTCAACACTTATAAACATTTACAACAGCACACCTTCCCACATTCTCAATTCAGAAAAAAAATCTTGTTAAAAATGCATCTCTACATTCCATGAAAATAATAAACATCTATATTAAGCTATCTATATTAAAAAAAAAATCTGAAACCAAACCTTAATAAAATTAATTAGGAATACTGCACAAATGTTTTAAAATGTTTATAGTAGATAGTTTAAAATATCAAGCTTACAGTTGGAAATGACTGTTCTTGACCTCTGGTATCACAGGCTACCATAAGCAAAGAAATGTTATTTTCATTATATTTTATGCAAAAAGTATGCATTATACCGACAAAATCAAGTTAATTAAACCTTAAATTTACTAATTTACTTTGAAACCTCTCTCTCGGATAAATATTGGATTAATAAGATATTTTTTCGTTTTGTTGTTTACATTTTTCATCTATCATGGCTGTTCGATAACTTGATGAACATGCCAATGTTTTAAAAATTCTTAAAACTTTATTTACATCCGGAAATTTATTTTTCTATTCCTTACATATTTATAAGTCTAATATTCGTCCCTGCTTTGAATATTGCTGCTACATCTGTTCTAGTGCTCCTGTTATATATTTAGAGATTCTTGATTAAATCGAGAGAATAATCTGCAATGCCACTGGTCTTGAGCTGGCATCTCGGCTTCAGTCACTTTTCCACCGCCATAATGTAACATCCTTGGGCCTTTTCTGTAAATACTTTCTTGGTAATTGTTCGGATAAACTTTTCTCTTTGGAACATAGAATCTATGAATTTAAATGAAGTCTAAGATTGGTGACAATTCTCATCATTTTACAGTTGAAATAGATAAATGTAACCGTAAGTTCTATGCTAACAGTTTCTTCTCTCTCGCTTCTCGCTTATGAAACTCTATTGTGTCTTCTTGCTTCCCAGTCAACTTTGAACTTCAAAAAATCAAATCATTATCTACTGTCTTCTTAATTCTTGTTTTTTTTTATTTTTCTCTCATGTTTTTTTGTTTTGTTTTGTTTTGTTTTTTCTCTAACATTCAGTAACTCCTTCCGTCTTCCTGGAATTATTTTTTTGCATGGGGTAAAATGATTAAAAAATATGGATTGCATTTAGACTATTATCTTTCAAATAAAATAAAAATGTTATTAAAAGAGATATTTAAAAAATTTTTAGTGCGTTTTAATGTTTTTAGCTCAAATTTTGGCGACACTCAGTGAAAATGTGTATCTATCTATGTTCATATATATCTATCTCAGTCTGTTCATCTCTCTCTCTCTCTCTCTATATATATATATATATATATATATATATATATATATATATATATATATATATCAGTCGATTCATATGTATCTAATGAAAATATCTATTTAGCTATGATATCCTGTCATCTATTTATCTCGATCTGTTCATATCTATCTATCTATCTATCTATCTATCTATCTATCTATCTCAGTCTGTTCCTATCTATCTATCTCTATTCATATCTGTCTATCTATCTCTATTCATATCTGTCTATCTATCTCTATTCATATCTATCTTAGTCTGTTTATATCTATCTATCTATCTATCTATCTATCTATCTATCTATCTATCTCTATTCATAACTATCTATCTATTTTTCTTTTCTTTTTTATTATTCTAATTATCACCGCCCTTAGACTGTCTCTCTCTTTTTTTACCTATTGCTATTGTGACGTATTTTATTTCAGGTAGAAAAAAACAGTTTTTAATTTGATGCAATATTTAATATCGAAGAGAAAAAAGTCACAGCTTAACTATGCTATGAATACTTTTCGATATTTTTCGGAAATGTAAGATGATTAATATATATATATATATATATATATATATATATATGTGTGTGTGTGTGTGTGTGTGTGTGTGGCGTGTGTCTTTCTAGGATGTACAAAAGTGAAGATTATAAAACAAAGTGGAAAATCTAAAAACGACGCATTTCGCCGAGAATGTCTGCTCTCTCTGGCTTCCTCAGGTTAGAATGAGAGAAAAACAAAACTGTCAGGATAATGCGTTGGGATCTCTTTAGATTTTTTCATTTTGTCTCATTATATTATAGCGTCTAAAAAGTAGATGGTGTAACCTAAAAGTAGGAAGAATATGTCACGCCAATTTTCAATATAGAAAATGTCTATTTGCCTTTAAAATCAGCATTTGCAATCTTGGCTTTACACTGACATAGTATCTGAATCCCGTCAACACCTTTAATGCAAAGTCAAAATCTTTTCTCTAAACAAATTTATTGGGAACAAATATTATAACCATCGTCCTACATCAAGTGAACATTAAAGTCAGCACTTAGAGGCGACAGTCTGTTTCATGCTAACTTCTTCATAAGTCTGGAATTAATTCTTTCTAGTATCGTTTTACTTATTTTACCTTGTTCGCTTTTGGCTGGGTTTATGAGTCTGCATGCAGGGTTGGTTTTGAAATTTTCTTTGTGGTCTTTTAGTGTGATAAAGGTTTGTGCCTTGCTGACACAACTTATTCGGTCATTTCGGTCTAATTTTTGGGCGATTGTTTTAACTTCCTTATTGATATCGTGTTCTGTTGTTTGGGGTGCCTTTTTGTATGTTTTGGTTATGTTGTTCTTGAGTAATTTATTGTGCGTAGGTGGCCTTAGTTTGTATAAATTTCTCGTTTCGTCAGCTGCGATAAATATATTTGCTGAATTGTTTATTTTAGTTATATCTTGTTTTAGTTTTTTTTTAAATGCATCTTGTTTTTTATGGAATTTTATGTTTCTAACTCGGTCAGTTAAATTCTGAACTTAGGAAAAAGTTAGGAGTAAACCAGTGGAAAAACACAAAAGCAACTATTGACTGGTTCCACAGCATAAATAACAAACAAATTTACCAATTCCTACAATTTGACATAAAAAATTTTACCCATCCATAACAGAACCCATGTTAGATTAGGCCATCAACTTAGCTCAGGAACAAATAATAATAAAACCAAACGAAATCGAAATCATTAAGCATTCCCGTAAATCATTACTATTTCACAATGAAGAAGCATGGATAAAGAAAGATGGGATATTTGACACGACAACGGGAATCTTTGACGGTGCTAGGAGCTGCGAAATCATAGATATATACTTATTACACGAACTAAGCGAAATAATAGATAGAAATGACACAGGACTCTACAGGGACGACGCTCTCATAATCTTAAGAAACTGTAACAAACAAAACACAGACAAAACCAGAAAAGTAATAACAAATATTTTCAAAAATAATGGATTCGACATAGATATAAAAACTAACCTAAACGAAGTAGATTCTCTACATGTTACCTTCAACCTAAGAAAAGGCACATATAAACCATACAGAAAACCCAATGATAAACCACTCTACATACACACATCTTCCAACCACCCGCCTACTATCATCAAACAGATACCAAAATCGATTAAGCGCAGGCTTTCCAACAATTCCCCCAATGAATCCATATTTAAACAAATCTAAGAAAGACTATAAAACAACACTAAAAAATAGTGGATTCCCAGCAACACTCACATACTCACCACAGAACAAAAAAAAAGGTCAACGGGAAAAGAAATATCATATGGTTCAACCCACCGTACAGCAAAAACGTAAAAACAAACCGTAGGAAAAATATTTTTCAAACCCTTACACAAACTAATCAAGTACCGAATCAAGTACCCTACACAAAATATTCAACAAAAACACAGTAAAAATCATCTACAATTGCACCGAGAACATGGCACAAATAATAAAAAAGCACAACAGGAAAATTATCAACAAACCACACGAACAAATTAAACCCACATGTAACTGCAGAATAAAGAACGAATGTCCCTTAAACGGTAATTGTTTACAAAACAACGTAATATACCAAGCCACGATAAAATCACCAGATAATAAAGAAAAAGTATACATAGTAGTAACTGAAGGACCCTGGCAACAAAGAAATTATGCACACAAAACATCTTTCACAAATAGTAAATATGCGAGCAGCACAATTCTTTCTAAGTATATCTAGGAAATTAAAAACAAAACGTACATCACACCAAAAATATCTTGGAAAATAAGGAAAAGATCATCAGCCTACAACAGCCAATCAAAAACTTCCAAACTTTGCTTGGAGGAAAAAATAGCTATCATTACCTTCCCAGACCAAAATAAATTATTAAAAAAAAGATCCGAGCTCATCTCAAAATGCAGACATGAAAATAAATTTTTACTATGTTACTTAAAAATCGAAAACTGAAAAAATAAAATAAAATAAAAATAAAATAAATAGATAAACAAAATGACAATAAAATAAGTAAAATAAATTAACCCAAACAAATTACCAAATCACACCCGTTAGAATAGACGAAATAGAATAAATAAACAAAAAATAAAAAACAAAATCAATGAACCCAAATAAATAAAGTAAATAATAAACAAATTAACAAACCATTATGACCAAAATATTAGTTAGACTATAAAAATCAAACCAAAAATCGGACGAAAAACATAGCTATAACTGTTATATAACGATAAAAAAATACTACATTACTTAAAAATCGAAAATCGAAAAGAGTAAATAAAGATATACAGTATAACAAATAAATAATAAAAAACAAGTAAAATAAATTAATTTAAATTCATCCAAATAAATAAACTAACAAACCGATTCCGATAAATTATCTGTTAGAAAAAAACAAATAAAGATAATAAATCCAAATAAATACATGAAGTAATAAACAAATTAAAAACTGTTCCCGCCAAAATAATAGTTAGAATAAACTACAACAATCCACCCCAAAATTGAATGAATAGCTTTATCTTCCCAAACCAAAACAAAACTATTAAATAAGTGATATAAACAAATTTTTACTATGCTAAAAAAACACCGATTAAAATAAAAATAAATAAATAAAATATGAGATAAGAAATAAAAATAAAAAATAAATAAAAACAAGCAAAATAATTTAACCAAAATAAATAAATAAACAAATAAACGACATCCGTTAAAATAACCGCCAAAATAGACTACCCACAATGCACCACTGACCCGTATATATAAATAGCCGAGAAAAATAACATCACTCGTGGCCTGACGATTACGTCTAGCATGAAACAGACTGTCGCTTCTAAGTGTTGACTTCAATGTTCACTTTTATATTTACACACGCTCTATCTCTCATACTGAGCACTTTATCCCATAAATATAGCACACCTTAAGACTATATTCCTTCATATATATATATATATATATATATATATATATCGTTTTCATTTATATATTTATGGGTAAAAGTGATCAATATCAGATGTAAGAACTCCTGTAAATATAAAAGTGGACACTGAGGTCAATACCAAGATGCAATAGACTGCTTGAACGCAATCTTCAGGCCATGTGGCTTGTGTGTTAGATCGACTATTTATAGATGCTGGTTAATGGTGCATTGTGGGTAGTAAGGGCTATTGTATTATTCTAACAAATAGATAGGCGGGAACGGTTATAAGTCGAAATAATTGTCGATCCGAATAGGGTTATTTGTAGAGATTTTGTTAAATAGCTTCAAATAATCACATTTGTATTCCCAACTATTTCTGCTCGGTAACCGCTAGAATAATTTGAAATATAACCGTAATTATTTTGTCGGAATGGTCAAATGATAATTACGATGTCAGAGTAAATAATATTCCAGTATTATGGAGTTAGGCTAGGGACAAGTACTGATAGTCTATGGCATCTGGGTAAACATTAGCCTACTAGATACCTCCACTTCACATAGAAGACTTCCCTTATTTACATTTAATATTCCAGTATTATGGAGTTAGGCTAGGGACAAGTACTGATAGTCTATGGCATCTGGGTAAACATTAGCCTACCAGATACCTCCACTTCACATAGAAGACTTCCCTTATTTACATTTAATATTCCAGTATTATGGAGTTAGGCTAGGGACAAGTACTGATAGTCTATGGCATCTGGGTAAACATTAGCCTACCAGATACCTCCACTTCACATAGAAGACTTCCCTTATTTACATTTAATATTCCAGTATTATGGAGTTAGGCTAGGGACAAGTACTGATAGTCTATGGCATCTGGGTAAACATTAGCCTACCAGATACCTCCACTTCACATAGAAGACTTCCTTATTTACATTTAATATTCCAGTATTATGGAGTTAGGCTAGGGACAAGTACTGATAGTCTATGGCATCTGGGTAAACATTAGCCTACTAGATACCTCCACTTCACATAGAAGACTTCCTTATTTACATTTAATATTCCAGTATTATGGAGTTAGGCTAGTGACAAGTACTGATAGTCTATGGCATCTGGGTAAACATTAGCCTACCAGATACCCCCCACTTCACATAGAAGACTTCCTTATTTACATTTAATATTCCAGTATTATGGAGTTAGGCTAGGGACAAGTACTGATAGTCTATGGCATCTGGGTAAACATTAGCCTACCAGATACCTCCACTTCACATAGAAGACTTCCCTTATTTACATTTAATATTCCAGTATTATGGAGTTAGGCTAGGGACAAGTACTGATAGTCTATGACATCTGGGTAAACATTAGCCTACCAGATACCTCCACTTCACATAGAAGACTTCCCTTATTTACATTCCATTTTTTAAGTATTGTGGAGT